GTAGTCAGCCATGTGGGAGTCCAGCAACATAACCACTATGCCATCTGCTGGCCCCAAGTCAATACATTTTTGTTTATCATAAATTACCTACTCTGTTATTCTGTTACAGCAGCACAAAATGGATTAAGATAGTTATGGTTATCAAATGTTCAGCCAGGGGCCCAACAATGGTAGTGTGTGCTAGCTGACAGTGCCACTTACCAGGCTGAGGCCCATGTTCAATTCCCAGCTCACCCTAAAAGCTCAGCACAATGCCACCCACCTGTAGTCCCAGCTACTTGGAAGGCTGAAGCAGGAGGATCACAAGCTTGGGCCAGCATGGACAACATAGTGAGACCCTATGTGAGAGAGTTGAGTGCAGTAGTGCATGTCTGTGGTCCTAGCTACTTGAGAGGCTGGAACAGGAGGACTGTGATATAGTGACACAAAAAGCTTCTTGCCACTTGCCACCTCCTGTTGCAGATGCTAAATAGCACCCTGTTGATTGTGGGTCTATTGCCTCTAGGTACTCCACTGGCCATTTCTACACACTTCTGCTGGTAAAGCCCACTGGCTGCCCCTCAAACCCTGCCTGCTGCAGGTAAGGTCATTAGGGCTCCTGGTTTCTGACAGTTGCATGCCACCTCCTGGCCTCTATCATACCCCTGGATGCTGGCAAGCTCATTTTGTAACCACCCCTCCTATCCTCATCCCTGGCCTACTGGTCCACAGTACTTCTTAATGATGTGAGTGTCCTTCTCTCCAGTGCTTTTTAAAAATTTATTTGCCAAAGGGTATGCATGCCAGCCAGAGAGAGAGGGAAGGAGGAAGGGGAAGGGAAGTAGACAGAGAAAGAAAGCACCCCCTTTGGGGAGGTCCATACTGCAATTCCTTCTAGTCCCTTCTCTTCTCAGGATTTTGGGTATGCATGCGCAGGAACCTGGCATTTTTTTTTCTTTTTTTCTTTTTTTAAGAGAAATTTTTACTATAGGGCACATGTGTTTCCTAGAAAGTAGAGAGATAGAGAGACAGAAAGCAAGAAACCCCCCACAGGGGTGATGGCCACACCTCAATCTCTTCTCCTCCCTTCTCGTCTCAGGGTTTTGGACACACACACACACACACACACACACACACACACACAGTGTAGGTCTGAAGCCATCAGGTTTGGGACTCAAGCCATATTTGGCCATGTGGGAGTCCAACAACATAACCATTACACCATCTGCTGGACCCCTGGCATGTGTTTTCAAGCCACTGGGAGATTCAGGCCACCCAATCAGCTACATGGGATCCAACCACCTTAACCACCACACCATCAGCTGGTCCACATCAGAGCATTTTGATGGGTTATAGAATGGTGCGTCCTATGTACTCTCTCATGCTACGTATCCTCTGGATCTTTTAGCCTTCCGTGTACCACTTCCTTCAGCCTCCACAACGTTCCTATGCTGTCTACATGAGAGAAGACAAGAAGGAAGGTTGCAGGAAAGCCCCTTACACTGCTGACAAAAACCTCAGCGAAGCCAGTGGGGAGTTCTTGAGCTAGATTTGACCATCAGAGAAGTCCCAGATCTTCCAGGAATGGACTTGCTGCACCCAACTGTTTGCTAGGAGCAGCCTGTAAGAAGCGTACTGTGAGTGTAGAAGCAGACAGATCTCAGACCACAGCACTTGGGGCCCTTGGAGTTACACTTCCTGTAGCCGGAGGTGTGTGACCATATTCCCATGGCCACCCTAGGAGCCCAGAATGAAGATTAGGGTGGGTGCAGCACAGCCTGCTTTAAATGCCAGTCCACATCTTTAGTGGCAGGTCTGACTCGCAAGGTGATGTTGCTCGGGACAACACGTCGTTGGGGAAGGAAGGCAAGTCAGTATGAGTATGCCTCTCCTCCTCTCTTCACTCTATTACAGTTTCAGTGCAAACAGGAAAGGAGTAAGTGCCTTCACTCAGAAGCAATCTCTTCCCTGGTCCTCATTCTGAGAGGGTGAAGTCACAGATCCCAGGACTCATCTTGAGGCCCAGACTGTGAGGCAGTTAAAGGCCAGGAACCACCCAGCTGAGATGAGTGCATTTGCCTGGATGCTGCTGCCACACCAAGAGGGTGGCTTGATGCTGCTACTAAGTGAAACAGCCCATCAGTCATGCTCCTGTGAGCCACGGGATACAAGGTGTCTCAGCACGTAAATGCCGGGGAAGTCTTAAGGATCGCCTCCGTCTGCACAAAGCCTTAAGGAAAACTAACAGGCTCCAGTGAGAAAACCTGGCTTCTAGTCTTAGCTGCACTCTTCCCCCAAAGTCCTAACGGTGCAGCGATGGAGCCGAGTAGTAAGCTGCAGGCCTGAGAAGGCAGCATTAAAGATGGTTTTCTCCCAGGCGGCTCCAGGGTACAGTGATATTGCGCTGCTCAAGAGAAGCCAGATCCCACCTGATGACCATGGTTTGACTCCGGCCTGGTCAGTCCAAAACACTCTAGGCACACACACGAGAGCCCAAGATCTCACAGACTAGAGGACAGGAGATAAAGACCAAAGTGTGACCAGACCTGTAGAGGATACTCTTTCTCTGTCTCGCATGTGAACACACACACGTGTGCTCTATCATGACTAAAGTGAAAAATAAAATGAGAAATAGCTGAGTCATTAAACCGCTAGTTATAACTCTTTTATAAAGCTTTCTCAGGATCTGCAAGCCGCATGGTGGTTAAAGCAATGAACTCCGGCATGGTTTGCGTCTCGGACCTGGCAGTTTGCATTCTCACTTTCCCTCTTTCTGTCTCTCCCTGATCAAATTTTTAAAATAATAATAATGAGCCAGCAGGTGGCACAGTAATTAAGGGTGCTGGATTCCCACATGGCCAACCATGGTTCAAGTCCCAGACCTACCTGGTGGCTTGCTTTCCTCCTCTCTCTTTCTCACTCTGTTCCTCTCTAGTCAAATTAAAAATAAATAAATAAATATGGGAACCAGCAGTTAGCGTAATGGCTATGTCGCTGGACTCCCGGACCCGGTGGCTTAGAACTCACGCCGGGCGCATGTGCTTGTGTGCCCAAGATCCCGAGAGGAGAATGGAGGAGAAGGGATTGCAGCGTGACCATTCCCCCTGGGTGGTGATTTCTCGATTTCTGTCTCTAATGTCTCTCTCTGTCTGTCTGGTGAGCACACACGCCCTATAGCAAAAATCTCTCCAAAAAAAAGAAAGAAAGAAAGAAAGAAAGAAAGAAAGAAAGAAAGAAAGAAAGAAAGAAAGAAAGAAAATAAAGGTCACTTAAACAATTTTAAAATAATAATAATGATGACAATGATGAATAAAATTGAATAATTCTTAAAAAAAAAAAAAAAAAAGCTTTCTCAGGGGAACCAGCAGATGGAATAAGGAAAGGAGTAAGTGCCTTCACTCAGAAGCAATCTCTTCCCTGGTCCTCATTCTGAGAGGGTGAAGTCACAGATCCCAGGACTCATCTTGAGGCCCAGACTGTGAGGCAGTTAAAGGCCAGGAACCACCCAGCTGAGATGAGTGCATTTGCCTGGATGCTGCTGCCACACCAAGAGGGTGGCTTGATGCTGCTACTAAGTGAAACAGCCCATCAGTCATGCTCCTGTGAGCCACGGGATACAAGGTGTCTCAGCACGTAAATGCCGGGGAAGTCTTAAGGATCGCCTCCGTCTGCACAAAGCCTTAAGGAAAACTAACAGGCTCCAGTGAGAAAACCTGGCTTCTAGTCTTAGCTGCACTCTTCCCCCAAAGTCCTAACGGTGCAGCGATGGAGCCGAGTAGTAAGCTGCAGGCCTGAGAAGGCAGCATTAAAGATGGTTTTCTCCCAGGCGGCTCCAGGGTACAGTGATATTGCGCTGCTCAAGAGAAGCCAGATCCCACCTGATGACCATGGTTTGACTCCGGCCTGGTCAGTCCAAAACACTCTAGGCACACACACGAGAGCCCAAGATCTCACAGACTAGAGGACAGGAGATAAAGACCAAAGTGTGACCAGACCTGTAGAGGATACTCTTTCTCTGTCTCGCATGTGAACACACACACGTGTGCTCTATCATGACTAAAGTGAAAAATAAAATGAGAAATAGCTGAGTCATTAAACCGCTAGTTATAACTCTTTTATAAAGCTTTCTCAGGATCTGCAAGCCGCATGGTGGTTAAAGCAATGAACTCCGGCATGGTTTGCGTCTCGGACCTGGCAGTTTGCATTCTCACTTTCCCTCTTTCTGTCTCTCCCTGATCAAATTTTTAAAATAATAATAATGAGCCAGCAGGTGGCACAGTAATTAAGGGTGCTGGATTCCCACATGGCCAACCATGGTTCAAGTCCCAGACCTACCTGGTGGCTTGCTTTCCTCCTCTCTCTTTCTCACTCTGTTCCTCTCTAGTCAAATTAAAAATAAATAAATAAATATGGGAACCAGCAGTTAGCGTAATGGCTATGTCGCTGGACTCCCGGACCCGGTGGCTTAGAACTCACGCCGGGCGCATGTGCTTGTGTGCCCAAGATCCCGAGAGGAGAATGGAGGAGAAGGGATTGCAGCGTGACCATTCCCCCTGGGTGGTGATTTCTCGATTTCTGTCTCTAATGTCTCTCTCTGTCTGTCTGGTGAGCACACACGCCCTATAGCAAAAATCTCTCCAAAAAAAAGAAAGAAAGAAAGAAAGAAAGAAAGAAAGAAAGAAAGAAAGAAAGAAAGAAAGAAAGAAAATAAAGGTCACTTAAACAATTTTAAAATAATAATAATGATGACAATGATGAATAAAATTGAATAATTCTTAAAAAAAAAAAAAAAAAAGCTTTCTCCAGGGAAACAGCAGATGGCATAATGGTTATGTCACTGGGCTCCCACATAGTCAACAGTGGTTTGAGGTCCAGACCTGGCGGCTTACTCACTCTCTCTGTCTCTCTCTCGTCAAATTGAATAATAACTTAATTTAATTTAATTTACAAATAAAAAGCTTTCTCATGGTTGCAGTGGTGGTGAAATATCTCAGAATGGCCCTACCTCAACAGGAACATCCTGGCCACTCTGGAGTTGCTCTTTTCTCCCAGCAGCCTCGTCTTCCTTCTGCCTGCTCCACCAGCATCATTATCAGGAGAGGGCTCCTAAGCCACATCTCCCCCAGTTCCAGTCTCACTGTCGCTTGTTTCTATCCTGAGAGGTGCAAAGCTTTAGGTCTGCCTGAAATAAAAGCAGGCTTTCATTTGACTTTCTGCAGGAAAATCAGAGAAGTGTTATGTACATTCTTTCCACTTGGCTCTCTCCTAAAGGGGACACTCATTCCTCCTCCACTTCTGTTCTAATATCATCAGACTGGAGCAAGAGCATAAGCAGATAAAGTATATCCATGTAATTCCCATCACGGGTATAGTTTAACCAAGAAATTTAAGGTGAAACTCCTATGGTTGATTTTTTTTTTTCTCTGCTTCTAGGGTCTCCAGCTTAAGAAAATTCCCCTGAGATGTAGTAGCATTGGGTTTTTCCTTAATCAGATCCTAGCCCCACCACTCACATCTGTGTAATTCTGGGCAGTCATTTAGTCTCAAAGTATTTCAGCTTCCTCATCTATAGAGTGACAATCACAATAGCTACCCCCTAAGGTTGCTGGTACGAGATAACGTGTAAGGCGCTTGGCATCTCACAGATGCTCAACAGAGCTGGGGCTCTGAATTTTGGGTTTGGGAATTACTTAGAAGTATATCTGGGGTTAGGAACCTAGCCAAGAATGAAAATGCTTTAATAAACTGGACAAAGTAGAAATACCCAGCAAACAATGGAAACAGGCGTGAGGCTGAGAGCAGGATTGCATCCGAATGCTGGTCCTTGATTTCATGTGAATCTGTGGATTAAAAAGCATGGAAATGCATAAGCTCCTAAGTGGCAGCCTTATCATTAAATAAAATCATGCATTGTAAGTCACTTTGAAAACTATAACATGCTACAGCAACCTAAAATGCAATCCTGGTATTAGATGCTTGCTTATAGTTATAGAAATGTGTTAGTTCATAAATGGGAGAAACAAGGAACAGGAAATACTTAATAAATATTTATAAATAACTGTGGAAATGTGGAAAACAGAAACCCATTCATTAAATACCATAGAAACCCAAGAAAAGTCCAGCCCCAGGTCTCACAGAGCTTCATACAGGAAAATAGCTCGGGAGCCAAGGCATTTTCAAGGTCTGATTACTTGATCCTTTCAGAAATTCATGGATCCCTGTTCCTCCCCACTTTACATTCTGCTGCTCTGTCTCAACCTGTGTGTTCTCTCACTTCTTCAATTTCTAAAGGGCCGCCTCTTTCTGAGTATTCCAGTGCATATTCTCAAGGCAGTAATGGGGTAAGCCAGTGAAATCCTCTATAGCCCACATCGAGGCAGTTTCCCCTGATAGGCCAATTCAGCACTGACTAGGCCATGAGTTGGCTACTTCTTGGGCCAGGTGCCCACCCACGTCAGTTGGCTCAGCCCAACATGGCAGAGTCAGGTGAATAAAAACAAAGACCTTGCAAGACCTTTGCCCACAGCAAGATCTTTGAACTGGAATGTTTTTCTAGGAAGAGGATTCTGAGCATAGTTGATGATAGATATTTGAGCATGATTAAAGAAGGAAAAAACAAAAAAAATCCTCAGGGGACTGGCTCCATGGCACAGCAGTAATGGACTCCTCAAGAAAAGTCATATCCCATATGGCAACTGCAGCTGGGATCCCCAGCCCAGCCTAGTCAGCCTGAAACACACCAGGCATGTGCATGAGTGGCCAAAATCTAACTTGCCAGGAGTCTGTGATCAGACCCAGGAGATGGCATAGTGGATAAGGTGCTGGACTCCCACATGGCTAATAGCAGTTCAAATCCCGGACCTGATGGCTTGATTTCTCACTCACTCTCTGTCTCTGGTGAGTGAATATGTCCTATAGCAAATTTAAATAATAATAAATTAATTAAATTAAATAAATAATTTTTTTTTAAATCCTCAGGACCAACATCAAATTAGACTCAAAAACTTGGAAAAATTATAGTTTTAAGTCCTATCAAATGTTTCAGATATTTTGCTTTCAGGCATCTCACCATTTAAACAAAATGTCAGACCGCATAGAAAATTCTGACCTACCTAAAAAGCTGTAGCTGAAAAGGCTTAAACCAAACTTCTTCAAACTATTTGAGTAAATACTAATATTTGTAGAACGAGGGGAGCAGAGTCCCACAAGGTGGCAGTATTATCCCATCTGTGCGCTATCTGGTTGTTAAAGTATGCGTGCTCATTTGTTGAGTCTGTTCTCAGACTGCTCACTTCTTCCTTGAAAATATTTTTAAAAGACTTGAGCAGCCCGTAGCTGATAGAAAGACATAAGTGTAAACAGTAAACATGGTCTCTATTTTTCTACTCTCCAGTCCACTTACTATCTCTGAGCTTATTTGATTCCCAGATCTTAGGGCCCATTATTTTTTAGTCTAATTATGTGTTAATGGAAGCAGAGCTTTGGATTAGCAAGGATTACAAAGTACCCAGCCATGTCTGAATTCTAGGAATTCGATTTTTAATTGTAATACTCTTTAGTTTGCATATGTGTGGTCCAGTTTTTAATTTCTTTTATGAGAATGTGCTTTTATGAGAATGTGAAGAACATGTGTGCGTGCATGAGTGAGAAGAGGAGAAAGAGAAAGATTCCCCCACACATAGAGGTTCTAGTCACGTCAGTCTCCTTCCCCAGCCCTCCATCCAGTCAGGATCTTGGGTGCACACACATTGGCACTCCCAGCATGCTTCAGGTCAGCTCAGGATCGGAACATACGGTTGGCCATGTGACTTCCAATACTTCTACCTGTGCCACTGAGGCTGGGGCTGTTATAGCCACTTAATACACCAGGGTCTCCATGGAAAATGTGTATTATGAAACACTATGCATGGTCTTCTTTTTTTTCGCACCAAAATAAACCTGTACTTTAATTTCATTTCCCATGAACTTTCTGAAGTTTGCTTGAACTTTCTTCCACATGACTCAATTCAAATCCAGAACATATACTGAAAACCCACTGCAAATGTTAATTTTACACAGCAACTTGGCTAGGCCATGGTACCCAGGTACTTGGTTAAACACCACTTCAGATGTTGCTGTGAAGGTATTTTAAAATGAGAGCTTGAAATCAATAGACTCTGAGTGATGCAGACTATCCTACACATGAGGGGCTTCATCTAACCAATTAAAGGCCTTAAAAAGACCTTTAGGAAGAGGGTCCCCAAGGAAGGTCCCCAAGGAAGAGGGAACTTGGCCTCCAGACTGCCTTTGGACTTAACCACAACATGAACTTTTTCTAGCATCTCTAGCCTGCTGGCCTGCCCAGTTTTCAGACCGGTCAGGCCCCACAATCATGTAAGCCAATTCACCCCTCTCTCTGAGAAAGGGTAGCCCACCCCACAGGGATGTGTGATTGTGATTGACTTCAAGGCACTGAGCTTTAACGTTTTTACTACTTTGTTAAGGGTTTTTATATAGTTACCATGGAAATTTATAATCTTATGAAACTACAAACTTTTTTTAGAGGTTTATGGCTTAGACCACAGTGTGTCTGTCTGTCTGTCTGTCTCTCCCCAGTGCACTCACTGGGAGGGAGGGAAAGACAGTGAGAGGGAAAGTGAGAAATCACCCACGGTGGGTAGGAGAGGATGGTCACATTGTGTCTCTTCCATTCTCCTCCCAGGATCTTGGGCATGCATATACCTATGCCGGGTGTGATTTTCAAGCCACCAAGTCCAGGACTCAAACTGCAGTAGGCCGTGTGGGAGTCCAGTGACATAAGTGCTATGCCATCTGCTGATCCCTAGAAACTCTTACCTTTCTAACTTATAGTTTCACAAACTAATGTTTAAACCAATTTGTCTAACACCCGAATCAAGCAGGAATATAAACTAAGGCAATCTGACTTTGGAGTCTACAACCTAAATCACTATATTAGTAAGGCCCCACATGCTTTAAATTTTATTGTCCAAGTAGAAGCCATGATATTTGCACCTTTTTTTGTTTGTTTAATTTGCCAGAGAGCACATAGACTCACTGGAGAGAAAAGTGAGAAAGCAACCCCCATGGGGACTGGTCACACTGTTCTGTTTCTCTCTCTTTTCATGATTTTGGGCACACACAAAATGCAGGGTATGTTTTTCAAGTCACCAGGTCTAGAACTTGAACCACACATTCTTTTTCGCTATAGGTCACGTGCGCTCGCCAGACAGACAGAGACATAGAAACAGAAAGCGAGAAATCACTCCCCAGGGGGGATGATCACGCCGCAATCCCTTCTCCTCCATTCTCCTCTCAGGATCTTGGGCACGCATGCACACGCACCTGGCGTGAGTTTTAAGCCACCGGGTCCAGGACGCGAACTGCGGTCGACTACGCGGGAGTCCAGCAACATAGCCATTATGCTAACTGCTGGTTCCCAGAACCATACATTCTTAAAAATAAGAGCATGCAGCACCAATAAATTATCAGTGTGATTTTTCAACCCAGTGATATCCACATTTGAACACTGCATGCACCTTAGGGAATACATCTATGGTCTAAACTAGAATATAGTCACAACTATAATGAAGTAACAACAGAGGGTGACCTTTTGCTACCTTTATCCTAAAAATGAGTGAATCTTATTCTTTATGTATTTATTATTAAATTGCCAACAGGCACATGCACCCACCAGAGAGAGAAAGGAGAAAGCACCTCCCCAATGGGGCACGGTCATGTCGCAATCCTTTCTCCAACTCCCCATCCTGTTGAGATCTGATGCATGTATGTACACATATCCTGAATATTTCTCAAGCTGCCAGGGTTGGATCTAAATCACGGTCAGCCATGTGGGATCCAGCACCCTTAACAACTAGGCTACAGGGCTGGCTCTTTATTATTCTTCTTTACAATGCCTATACGCTTCCTTTATTCAGAGCATACATATGATGCATTCGCCTTCCTCTTCAGTCTTGGCCTGTTCTGTGCTTTATCACCCCCATCCCACCCCAAATTTTATGTTTTCTCTTTCATTGCCCTTCCTATACTATTCTTTTGGAATTTGGGCTTTAAGTTTTCTTTAAATTAGTTATTAGATTTATATTCCTTGACTACTTGCTCTTTCTGGCTTTGAAAATAACCCTAGTCTCACTCAAATGCAAACCTGAAGACTAGATGGCATCTGGCCTCAAACATGCAAACTAAGCCAAACTAGAATGAATACGCTAGCAACAGAATTAATCTTAAATGTCTGGTTAATCTTCCCAAATATAGGGGCCAGCAGGTGGTGTGGTGGTTAAGGTACTGGACTCCCACATGGGTGACTGTGGTTCAAGTCCTGAACCTGGTGGCTTGCTATCTCTCTCTCTCTGTGTTTCTTTCTGTCTCTCTGTGATGAGTGCATGTGCCCCATAGCAAATTTTAAAATGATACTAAATAATAAGTTTTTTTTTTTAAAATCTTACCAAATTATTTTCACCTAAAAGAAAAACCTAGAAGCCAAGTAACTCTTTAAATATGTATGTGGTGAGGTTTGGCAGTTTAATGACTAACAATGATTGCTTCAGGGCAGGCTCCATGACACAGGGTAATGTAAAATCCAAGAGAAGCCAATCCCACATGGTAACCACAATTTGAATCCCCTGCCCGAGGGATCTGGCTGTGCCAAATCACATGTGCCCAAGATCTGGCTGCTGGAGGGCGGGTGGAAGGGCATCTCAGTGTGACCAGACCTTGTACAGGGTGCCCGCCTCTCTCTGTCTCTCTCATTCTGTTGCATATACTCACACATGCTCAACATGAGTAAAGAAAAAATTTAGAACAAAAAAAGGAAAACTTCTAGACTTAAAAAGATTCAGAGAAAATGGAATTAAACTATGAATTTATTTTGGTACCAAAAATTTTGAAATTCATGTATATAGTTTTCTCATAATATTTATTTTATCTAACTTTTTGAAGACCCTCTTTGTGTGTGTATATATGTAAGACTATGATGAAATTTACAAACCCAATCCTGGGAAATACCATATATAAAATTCTGTGAGAAATTTATTACAGTTCATATCCTCTCCAAAAGCCATCCATAGAAGTCCTTTTCTCATGGGTCTAAGAACTCTCAGATTAAAAAAAAAAAACTAAAAATATGACCTAAAATAGTCCGTAAGTTGGAAATTTGCATTATACAAGCTACACATGCACGAATCCTTTTGAAGCTCTTTCTACCACATCACTAAGTAGTACCATAATTATTATTTCCAAAGAATAGTGAAGAACTTTATGAAGTTATTTCAACTAGAATTTTTTAAATAATTATTTTATTTAATTAATTAATTAATTTATTTATTTATTTTAATTTGACCAGAGAAGGACAGAGTGAGAGAAAGAGGGAAAGTGAAAAAGCAAGCTGCCAGTTCTAGGACTCGAACCATGGTCGGCCATGTGGGAGTCCAGTGCTCCTAACCACTGCACCACCTGCCAGACCCTCAACTAGAATGTCTTTCTTTTTTCTTTTTCTTTTTTTTTCTGGAGAGCTTTTTGCTATAGGGTGTATGCACTCGCCAGAGAGAAACAGAGAGACAGCGAGAAATCACCCCTCGGGGGGATGGCTTCTCCTCCGTTCTCCTATCAGGATCTTGGGCACGCACACACACACACACACACACACCTGGCATGAGTTTCAAGCCACCAGGTCTGAGACTTGAACCACGGTTGACTACATGGGGGTCCAGCAACATAGCCATTACACTAACTGCTGATCCCTCAACTAGAATTTCTTCACAACACTTTATCACCTTTCTAAAATGGATTCACGAACCAGGCATTCTGTGACAAAATATATGGAGAACAGTAAGAGGGTGATAGAAGAAAGAAGAATATCTGAAATAAGGAACTTAAAGAGAAGTACACAGTGCTATGGATATATTAGTACTTGATAAATGACACTAGATATTCAGAGACCTTTTTTATTAAATGTGTAAAAAGTAGTTCTTATTTTACAAGCTCAAAAATCAGAAAAAAATGTATAAGGGTATATAATCAGCATATAGTATTTATAAACTGTAACAAACCCAAAATTCACTGCAGACACAATCTATATTACATTCAGCTATATTACATTCAATATCTGCATTTACATGATACTTACTGCAAAGCAAATACAAAATAAATTCTCACCATTTCAGTTCAGTACATATGTGATACGGTTTCAAAACAAAGGCAACTTTTTTCAATCAAAAAATAGAAGCCACCCTCACCAAGTATCAATTCACTATTTTATGCAAAAATACAGTAAGACTAATTGTAAGAGTTTCATTCAGATTTAGTCAGTAAGACATGTATCCATTACTGAAGTACGGCTGAAGTTTTATATTTTAATCACCAAGATAACAGTACTTTTCTGATTTATGGCTGACCTTAAAATAGTAAATGCTAATATATATTCATTCTGACATTCTCAAAAGTCGATAAAACTTAAATACTATAATTCTGAAAGGATATGTGCCTTGACAGTCATTCAGTAAACACGATTTACTTTCATACAGGTCACAAAAGTACAATTAACTTAGCTAGAATTCTCTATCTATATCCCACCTGCTACAGTTCAGTCCTAATGACTGTGTATACAGCAGTGCTGAACATACGTCACTAGATATAGCCCAACATTTACGAGTAGCTCTAAAACTACTGCACTGCTTATAAATATAACATCACTAGTATACTCTGTTATCAGTGGTTCCTCGCATCAGGATTATTTGGGGGAGTTCTTGAAAAAGCATGTAGGCTCTGTCTCCTGACTAATGAGCAGGAATCCAGAATGTCTGTGTGTTTTAGCTAATTCCCAGGTGATGATGACACATAGCCTAATGTGGGAAACCCTAACCTCGACCACTAGACCACGGGTCTCAACTTTCTAGGTGCATCAGACTCTTTAAAAAGAAAACCAAAGTGAAACAAACCAACACAGATTTGCTTCAGACACTTGAGAGTGGGGTCCAGGAACCAGCATTTTAAACCATTGCAGTGAACCTAAAACTACTCTGAAACACAACAGATGACCTGGCAAGATATCGTGCCAAGGAATACATTCAGCAACTTAGGTGACATTGTCCTGCAAGCCCTAATGAATCCTGCCCTAGGCAGTTTCGGCAAGTGTTGGAGGGCAACATTTAGCCTCTTCAAATAAAATATATTTATAGTCTTAAGTATGAGGTCAAAGTCAACTGGATTGTGAAACTGTAATTCATTCATTAAAGAGAAAGGTTCTTTCAAACAAATCTTTAGATACCAACTTAAATCTCATGCTTCCTCTATTATAATAAGCCTAATAATGTAATCAGAGGTAGTGATTCCTGTTTACTAAACATGTAATGTGAATTATGAAAGATCCATCTTCTAGAGGGGACCAGCAGATGGCATAATGGTTACGTTGTTAGACTCCCACATAGTCGACTGTGGTTGGAGTCTCAGACCCCACGGCTTAAAACTCACACCATGTGCATGTGCATGCATGCCCAAAATCCAGAGGGGAGAATGGAGAAGGGACTGCAGTGTGGCCATCCCCCCTGGGGGATGACTTCTCGCTTTCTGTCTCTCTGTCTCTCTCTGTGTCTCCAGCGAGTGCATGTGCCCTACAGCAAAAATCTCTGTCTATTAAAAAAGAAAAAAAAAAAAAAAGATACATCTTCTAATCATAAACCCTTACAGTTCTATACAGTCTCTATGTAAGACAGCTTGGAGACCAGGTGGATATTAAATTATATCAGAACAGTAAATAATAACATTTTAAACAATGAAACTTATTTCCTTCACATAGTAAATTTCTTCATATAATACTGGAAAAATTTTCTAGAAAACATCAAAGGTATCGTGTTGCTTCTTTTGAGAAGCTATTTACTAATTTTCCACCATTTCTGTCACTATTGATGAAGTAGATAGTTGTTATACATCATTCTACTTTAACAATTTTTTGAAAGCACAGAAGCTGTACCCAGTGTATGATGATGATACTAAGTATTATAAACACATACACTGAATCGAGTGTGATAGCTTCACCACCCCCACCAAACTCTACGGCTAGATATAACCAACTTTAAATCCAAAAGCTACATAAGCAGTAACAGTTACCAGCATTCATCTGGCACTGTGCTCAACTACCCTATGTGTACACGTACACGTGTACATTATGTTCTCACAAGGACTCACACCACCTCTTTTCCAGGGACATGAAATGGCTGGCATTTCTTCTTAACTAATGGACAAAAAGGCAATTATCAATATTCAGCACTGTTTCCCAGAGAGGCAAGTCATTTCATCAAATAAGATACAAACTTTTAAATCTATATTTAGAGCAAGACTCTTAACAAGAAAACCATTTTCCAGTTTATAAATAATTCAAGGTCAAAACACTGAATTTTAGAATTAAGCAAAATAAACGTTGAAAAAACCACATCTAAATATCAAAACCAAGTGACATTATTTCTGCTACTTAGAAAGAAAAGCATTTTGAAGGGCTGAAATGAAGATGTGGAGACACGGCAATCTTGGAATAAAGATTTCAAAACATAGGATCAGCAGATAGTGTAATGGTTACATCACTGGACTTCCACATGACCAACTGCAGTTCAAGTCCTGGATCCAGAGGCTTGAAACTCATGACAGGCATTTGTGCATGCATGCCCAGAATCCCAAGAGGAGAACGGAGGAGAAGGGATTATGGCATGGCCATTCTCCCTGGGCAGGGGGTGGGGGTGATTTCTCGCTTTCTATCTGTCTGTCTGTTTCTGACTCCCCAGTGAACACATGTGCCCTACAGCAAAAATCTAAAAAAAAAAAAAAAAAAAATTCGAAACATAACACAAGGGTATAAGGCACTACCTTAACTTCAATCTACACTTAATCCAAACATGGGATAGTGGAAGAAAACACCACTGTTCACATTCTTTTAGCTGGTTTGGCAGTTAACTGCTTTTCTCTTTCAAATTCCTTCTCTCGTTGCTGCTCCCTTTCCAGTTCTTCCTTTTGCCTCTTCTGCTGAAGTTTTAGCGCTCTTTTCTGTGTCAAAAAAAGAATGGAAAGCCAAGAGAGCAATAAAGAACTACAGATCATGGCTTAATTTAAAAGTAATAGTGCTTTAACCTGAGGTAATCAACATATATTATAATAAATTTTATGCTTAACTTTTACGTTTGTTTGGATAACTTAAGGTCTCCTTGATTCAAGAAATGTGCTGTTCTAAGTCCTTATTAAATGAGGACTGCAGTTACATATCCAAAGAATATGGGTCAATTGATCCACCTAGAAATAAAAACGCTCAGAGTGGGATCCAAAAAACTAGATTTTCTTAAAAGAAAATTTTTAAATTTTTCAAGTTTTATGCCAGCAGGGTGGCATGGTGGTAAAGGCGCTGGACTCACACATGGTTGACCACAGTTCAAGTTTCAGGCTTGTTTTCTTACCTCTCTCTGTCTGTCTCTGGTGAGTACATGTGCCCTATAGCAAATTTTTAAATAATGATAATAAAAAATAAAATTAAATCAAAATTCTTTAAAAAAAAAAACAACCTTTTTTCAAGCTTTAAAAAAACAATATGCCATGAATTATGCATGGTTTTATATATGAAAGTATAAGAAGTCAAAAAATTAACACTGAAGAACAATAAACCTCTACTTTTGTAAAAATGATGTAATAATTTTTAACTCACTTTTAGCTTTGATGTTTTTTCATGAAGCATCAGCATCTCTTTTCTTATATTCACCAACTTAGTATGATAGTGTTTAGCTTCAGTGAACTTTGGATGAAAAATGAAAAGTCAAATTAAAATATACTGAAATATCAAAATAGACAAATAAATCAGTGCCTAACAGTTCACTCTTTCTAAATAGGTCAAATTTTTTAGAACCTTAATTATTTCCACTTTTTAATTCTAAAATGCAAATTTCATTTAAACCATTGGGGTTTTAAAAACATCTGATTCATTCAAATAGACCAAAAAATATTACTGAACATAAGTAGGCTTTAAAAAAAATGCAACCTGGGACCTGCAAGTGGCAGGTGGTTAAGGCGCTGGACATCCCGCATGGCTGACCATGGTTCGAGTCCCAGACCTGGTGGCTTGCTTTCTTATTTTCCTCTCTCTCTCTCTCTCTCTCTCTCTCTGTGTGTCTCTCTGGTCAAATTAAAATGAATGAATAAATGAAATCGAATAAAATAATTGTCAAAAAATGCAACTGAATCCTAAAATGTCAGTGAAACTATCTAATAATGCTATTAGTTTCATTTAAGAAAAATAAAACACCCCAGCCAGCCCATGGCAAAGTGGTTAAGGTAGTTGGAACCCACATGGCCAACTGTGTGGTTTGAGTCCTGGACCCAACAGCTTGAAAATCATGCCAGGCATGTATGTGTTTGTGCCCAAAATCTCAAGAGAATGGAGGAGAAAAGATTACAGCATGGCCATTCCCCAGGGGGTAATGTCTCATTTTCCTTCTCTGTTTCTCTCCAGAGAGTGCACGTGCGCTGTTGCAAAATAAGGAAAGGGAAGGGAAGAGGAAGGGAAGAGGAAGGGAGGGGAAGGGAGGGAAAGGGAGGGAAGGAGAGGGGATGGGAAGGGAGGGGAGGGGAGCAGAAAATATTTCACTGACTTTACAAGGGAGAAACTGAGCCAGGGTACCAGGTTTAAGTGAAGAGTCTGCCCCATCAGGAAACCCAAGCTGCAGCTAAGGAGCCCTGCAAGGACTGTGGACGATTTTAGGCCTATTCCTTAAGCTTCTGAAATCAGAGCAAGCAGAAAAACCACAGCCTACAATGAAGTCTCATGTCAGAAGATGGAAGTTGGATGCAGCCCTAGATAGGTGTGGGAGAAGGAGAAAGGCACCTTTTTCTCAGACAAAGCAGCAAAAGGAAATGAGAGTGGTGTTGGTAGAGAGACTCCCAACCCTAATAGCTGCAAGTAAAGTCATCATCTGATGAGCTCTAGCGCTTTCAGACCCTCTTTCTACCTCTCTGGGCCTTCCAGTTTTCAGTTCCTAGATGATGACCAAAACCACTCCGGGGCTGAAAGAAGAAAAATGAGGAAGACACAGTCTGCCCTTTCAGACTGAAGCAAGAGTACTACCTCTGCTTGGCTCATTCATGCAATGCTCGTTCATTCAACAAGCATTCTTTCTGCTGCGGCATGAACTCAGCAGGGAACGACACAAAAGCAGGTCAGTGTGGCCTTGCCTACCTTCTACCCGAGAAGGTGGGAACTACGGGGCACAAGTCTGTATTAACCAGCTTGGGCCTCTAATGCTAGAAAATACAGTTTCTGATTGTTATAAAATAAAAACATTAGTAAAGCACTTTGCCCAGGTATAAACAGTTGCAAATTCATGCAATCCAAGTTATTTCTACTGTTCAAAGAGGAAAAAAAGAAAAAAAAAAAAGATAGCAATAAGTTCCTCATTTTTCCAATTCCGTTTCTTATATTGATTCTTCTCATCAAAAAGCTACAGTGCTTCTGATAAAATTCAACTCTTCAACTAATATAACTGATCCTTTCCAAACTATTTCAGCCCACACGTTACTTCTCATGGCACTGTGAACATGCTATATAATTAAATAAAATGCTAATTTAAAAACGAAGCAATTGATAGTTAAAGAGAATAGTTAAGATAGAGAAGAGTACAGTTCCTTACTGGTTCAGTCTGGGTAGCATGGTCCAAAGCATATTAGATTAGTGCTAGAAGTCATGTGGTCAACCATGGTCAATCCCTGGTCCAGTCGACCTGGGAGAAAGGGGTGCACACCCTACACCCTGAGAAGCTGGAGGGATGGGAGAAGGGGATCATGGCATGACCAGTCCTTGTCAATGGTCCTCTCTCTGTCTGTGTATCTTTCTCAAATACATATGGGCTCTCTGCCACGAATAAAAAAGTTCCTTACTTTCAGTTCTCTCTTCTAAGTCTTTAATCACGGGAAATCTGTTCCACACTCATAAATAAGTCCTATTTCCTATTACAAGTTCAATATTTGAAATATAACAATTCAAGACAATAGAAGTTCTAGTAGAGTAAATCAAGGTTTCCTGTTAAACAGACAAATTCTGAATTTTTAAAATAAGAGAGTAAGATCTTAAACATATATACAGTACATAGCAGTTGTGAAGATAAAATTTAGCTCTTTTTAAAATAAAATGTCACTGAATTTATCAACTAAATCATACTTACCAAAGCATTAATATCCAACATAGAATGACATTCCTTAAATTTTGAAATTTCTTGTTCCAGTGTATCTAATAATACAACTTGGTTCTGTCTGAAACAAAGCACACAATCAAAGTAAACTTTATATATTATACATGCTGGTTCATTAAAAAGAATCACATTCATCTTGGTTAAATGCTAAAAGTTAGAAATGAAGTTGGAGGGACCAGCAGATGACATAATGGTTATGTTGCTGGACTCCCACATAATTGACCGTGGTTCGAGTCCTGGATTCAGCAGCTTAAAACTCACACCATACGGGACCAGCAGTTAGCATAGTGGCTATGTCGCTGGACTCCCATGTAGCTGACTGCGGTTTGAGTCCCAGACCTGGTTGCTTAAACTCATGCCAGGCACGTATGCATGCGTGCCCAAGATCCCGAGAGGAGAATGGAGGAGAAGGGATTGCGGCGTGACCATCCACCCAGGGGGTGATTTCTTGCCTTCTATCTGTCTGTCTCTCTCTGTCTTTCTGGCGAGCACAGGCACCCTATAACAAAAATCTCTTAAAAAAAAAAAAAGAAAAAACCCCACACCAGGCATGTGTACATGTGTCCCAAGATCCCAAGAGGAGAAGGGATTGTGGTGTGGCCAACACCCCCCCGCGGGGGGGGGGTGATTTCTCACTTTCTGTCTGTCTCTCTGTCTCTCTGGCAAGTGCACACAACCTATAGCAAAAATTTCTCTTAAAAAAAAAAAAAACAGAAATGAAGTTGGAAATGTAGTGACTCTAGCATAATTTTTTCAAAATAGTGTTCCAAAGTCACATTCTTATAACTAAATGTGTCTTTTATTCTTGCCTCAAGTTGAGACTCTAATAACTAAAATAATAAAACATTTAGAAGTATTTTGTTACTTTTTTTTAAGCAACTACCTTTATCATCACAAAAAAGTTTTTTATAATATCCTCCCCAAAGCAACTCAATGTTTTATGTATCTTAAAACTACAACACGGAGACCAGTAGAGGGTATAATGGTTGCATCACTGGACTCCCACATAGTCAACCCCGGTTCAAATCTTAGACCCGTGGCTTAAAAACTCACACTGTGATCTTGAAAATCCAGTTTATTTCTCTAGACCTAAATCTTATTTATAGAACAAGATGGACAAGGAGCCAGCAGGTGGTGTGGTGATTAAGGAGTTGGACTGCCACATGGCCAACCACAGTTTGCGTCTCTGACCCAGCAGAGAAACTCATGCAGGCACATGTGCATGCATGCCAAAATTCTGAGAAGAGTATGGAGGAAAAAGGGTTGCAGTGTGGCCAGCCCCCAGTGGGGTGTGATTTTCATTTTTCCCCTCTCTGCCTCTCTGTGGCGAGCATACATGCCCTATGGAAAAAAAAAAAAAAAAAAAAAAAAAAAAAAAAGAAAAAAGAAAACTATTAGACCAGATAACTTTGAATGTTCCTCATTAAAAGTGAATCAGAACCTATTAATGAAAAGAATCCAACTTCCCTGATATTCCTCTTCAGATCAATGTTACATTCCAGAAATAAGTAATACTGAGGGGTTACTTAATTGAACATTTTAAAGAACACAAGAGACAAGGAAAATATGATGTAGTTGCTGGCAGAACTGTACTAAATAGAAAAGAATGATGAAAAACAAATAGCAATGAAGAGACTGAAGGGCAATGACATCTCTAGCTGGCACAGAGTTTGGTAGACCCCACAGGCTGAAAGTCTGGGCCTTCAGCTCAGTGTAGAGGCCAGAGAGAGTGAAATAAGGAATGGATCCCAGGCAAACCCAGCAAGTAGGCCTCCGTGATAAGCAGGGCAGCAAAAATCAGCTGTTACACTGGAAAACAGCAGCGGAGAAACTGACAAAGCCAAAGCTGGCTCCCGAAAAGATGGATAAAACTGATAAATCGCTAGCCAAGATCAACCAGGGAAAAAAGAGAAAAATCAAAATTACTAAAATCATTCATGAAAAAGCATGTCCTCACCAATGATGCCATGACATCAGAATGATAACAAAGGAATACTTTCGACAACTCTATGCCCATAAATTTGGTAACTTGGATGGACGAGCTAATTCCTTGAGAGACATAAACTGCCAAAACCCATACAATGAAGAACAGGAACTCTAAGTGGGAATTTATTTACCAGAAAAAGGGAATCTATAGGTAATAGCCTTCTAATAAAAGAAAGCACCAGAACCAGATGGCTTCACTGATGATATCTACCACACACATAAGGAAGAAATGCTAATTCTCTACAATCTCTTCCAGAAAGCAGTTGCAAAGGGAGCACTTTGTAATTTATTCTATGAGTTTCTATTTCCCTAAAACCAGAACCAAATAAAGACATTACAAGAAAGAAAACTCATATATCTAGTATCTCTCATGAACACAAATGTAAAAATTCTCAAGAAATATTAACAAATCAAATCCAACGATATATAAGAATTATATACCACAACCACACTAATACCATGTCGTCTTGATTTCTGTAGTTTTAGTGAATCTGGAGATAAGGTATTGTGAGTCTTTCGTCTTTGTTCTTCAATACTGTGTTTACTATCCTATATCTTTGCCTCTCCATATGAATTTTAGAATCAGTTTGTTGACATCTACACAATAACTTACTGGGATTTTGGCTGGGATTCTGACTCTCTAGATTAAGTTGAAAAGAATTTACATCTTAAAAAATACCAAGGTGGAGTCAGTAGGTGGCATAGTGGTTAAGGCAGTGGATTTCCACATGGCCAACTGCAGTTCAAGTCTCAGAACTGGTAGCATGGACATCGTGCCAGGTGCATGTGCATGCATACCCAAAATCGTAGGAGGAGAATAGAGAAGAGACTGCAATGTGGCCATCCCCCTGGGGGGTGAGTTCTCACATTCCCTCTCTCTAGCAAGCATACAAACCTTATCACAAAAACCTTAAAATAATGATAATTATGAATACCAAGTCTTCTAATCCATGTACTTCAAATATCCCTCCATTATTTAGATCTTCTTAGCTTTTTTTCTTAGAGTTTTATAGGTTTGCATATAAATCCCATATATATTTTACTATTTAAGTGGTAAAATTTCGTGGAGGTGGTATTGCCAAGAGAAAACATAAATTGATCAATGGAACAGAATGGAAAGTCCTTGAATGAATCATGACTTTCCCCACAACTCAATATACAGCCAGCTGCTCTCTGACAAAGGAGCAAAGGCAATGCAGTAGAGAAAGGACAGTCTTCTCAACAAACAGTGCTGGAGCAGTAAGATGTCCATTGTCGGAGTCTGCCGACAAGCTTAGCTCAACCTAAGAGGGAATAAGAGGAAAGAGAGGAAACAAGAGGAAACAGAGGCAGAGTAGCGGTGGACACAGGCAGCCTAAGCCTGCTGAGCCTGTGCGGCACAGACAAGCTGAGCACCTTTATTTATGGATCAAACCAACACTACATACGTGTATTTCCTGACATTCCACAGACATAGTTGATATTTTACAGAGACAGAAAGCAAGTGATATTGATCTTCTCATCCTTGAGGGTTTCGATATGCTAGTGCCATGTGTATCTCTTGGTTACAGCATATGCCAAGAAATTTCCCATAATTACTTATCTAGTGCAGCAAAGCCTATCTGTAGATGTGGGGAGCACATCCTTTTGTATACATCAGAAAGGGTGATGATTAATCTACAGAGATTACATCAAGCAGAGCAGGGGTTAGTGGGGCCAGGATGTTGCCCGAGCTCTACAGGTGTCCCCCCAGAGCAGCCCCCGTAAATTCCACTGAACGCTCTGCCTGCAGGAAGGGTCAAGGAAAGGACAAGCCGCAAGGCTTCTGCTATCTCCTTAAGGAGACGTGACGTCTCCTCAGAGCATGTCCCCACATCCACGAAGCTTTTCTCAAAACATGCTCCTGCATTCCGTGTGCAAACAAGAACCTAGAGAAAGATTGTATACCCTTCACAAAAATTAACTCAAAATGGATCATAGATGTAAATGTAAATGTAAAACTCTAAAACTTCTAGAAGAAACACATGAGAAAATCTAGGTGAGAAAATATTTGCAAAACACAAAGGACTTGCAGTAAAACTATACAAAGAGCTTTTAAAACACAATAATAAGAGGAGGCCAGACAGTGGCATAGCAGTAAAACACAATGCTTTGCAACACTGATCCACAAGGAAGGTTCCAGGTTCACGTCCAGAGACCTCCCTGAACACATGTGCATCTGTGTACCCATCTCTAGGCCTGGCTGAGGCTGCAAGTGGATTGCAGAGTTAAGACCCTGTCAGAAGTACTATCTCGTTTTCTCTAACTTTCTCACTCATGGAAGTAACAAATAAACTTTTAAAAAGATATCAACAAGAAAACAATTCGATTTTTATGGGGGTAAAAGATCTGAATAGACACCTATAGTGTAATAATGCATTTGTCTCAGGTTCCTGGCACAGAGTTTCTAGAATCCTTAGAATTTCTGAAGTTACAGGAGTGTCTCTTTACCCATGAGCTCCTTGTATCACACCTGAGTCAGGCTAATGAGGTGACAAGTGGTGGATCCTGAGCTTCACCATGGGGGCTGCTCTTGCCAAAACCAACCATGTGATTAATGAGCTGGAGCTTTGAACTATGAGACATCAGCCAACCTCCAAGTAGGAGAGGGGAACTAGAGGTAGAGTTCAATTACACTGCCAGTGATTCAATCAACTGTGCCTACATCATGATATTCCTATTAAAAAAACTCTGTACCCCAAAGATCAGTAGCACCTCAAGGCTGATGAACACACTGATGTGCCCAGAGGGTGATATACCCTGATTTCCCTGGGAGGGAACACAGGAGCTCTGTGTTCACGACCCTCCCTGACCTTGCCCTATGTGTCTCTTCATTTGGTTAGTCCTGCTCTTTATTCTTTATAATAAAACTAACGTTGTAAAGGGCAATGCTTTTCTGATCTGTAGGTCTGGTCACTCTAGAAAATGATTCCAGAGAATATTACCTACAAGATAGTGAAGCAAAAAAGATGACCAAACGCCTGTTGCTTTAAAGCTTTGTGTAACCTATGCCAAATATGCTGAAAGTGATTACAAAATCCTGATGAAGTCTTCATCTCCCAGAGACCTTTTCCTCATAGCACAGTGGCTAAGGGAGCCAGATCCCTCACAGCTGACAGCAATCTGAGTTCTAGCCCCAGAAGCTTGAAAAACATGCTGGCAGGTATGCATGCAAGGCCCCAAATCCCGACAGGATGGTGAATCGAAGGAAAATGGACCACAGTGTGACCACACTCCACTAGGGATGCTTCCTCTATCACACGTGTGAATACATACACCCTCTGGCAATACTAAAATAAAATACTATTTATAACCTTTCTTAAATATAAAGCTAAATCTTATTCTTGGTCTTCTTTTCCCATTCTTATCTACTAAATAAACTTCTTTTCTACTACCACCTTTCTCCCATTACCTCTGTAGGCCTTCCGTTTCTATCACAGTGAAGTGGCTTTCTGAAGGTCTCATAGCAGAGCCAGGACTAGAACTCTCAATCCAGTACTCCTTCCTACATCTTACTAATAGTGAAATTTATGGAGAAATGGGGGAAAGGGGCAGCTACTAGGAAACATCTCCCTTGTTCCTTTCTCTCAAATCTGCTGACCTTTCCTTAACATTCAAGAAATATAAAAACAACTAATTTATCATATTCCATAGTTAATTTTATCACTAACTGTTAACTTTCTCAAGCTCTTTAACCTCTTCGATAAAAGGTGGTGTGAGGGTTAACTGAGACATAGTAACTAAAGAACTGAACACATGGTACACAAAGTAAGAACCAGTAGCTGATTTTATCACCATCAGCAGTATATCTGGATGCCTAGAAAGATAAGCGGGGTTACTCGAAACACTGTCATTTAGCCAATGTCTTCATCAACTAAACCCTGATTTCCAGATTCCTGTAAATAAACTGTCATGTAAATATGTTTTGATTGCAGTTTCTTAACTTTCTTCAGTCTACCATCTTATCTAAATCCCCCCAGAAAATCTTTACAACATTTTTTTCTTGCCACAAAGATTGACTGGCATCAAAATACAAGGCATACCATGCACGTGGAAACAGTCCAAAGAATATCCACCAAGAGGCGAATGAGCGAACAAAATGGCCACATTTATACAGGGGAGTTCTACTCAGCAGAATAAAGGAGTGAACTACTGGCCCCTTCAACAACACGAAGGATAGCAGGCAGATGTGAAAGGCTCGTAAAAAAAATCTCACTTGGACTACAGAAAACTGAGAATGTCCCCAATTTCCTAACTTTAGTATTACACTACCTGTAGTAAACAAGGTATCACTTTCGTACTCACTTAGCACCTTGAAGCCAAGAATTATAACGTTACTTACTAATGAGTTTTAAATGGGCAAAGTTGTTGACTGTAGCTCTCCCTCTGCCCTAACAAAGGCTTCTGAAATAAGTTTTCAAAGAGTAGTTTTAGAACGACAGCAGTTTGTGGCGAGTTACTACAGAAAGAAATAAGCCCAGCTGGACAAGCCAGACAGGTTCTGACCCAGGAGAAAGCAGAGTTAGACCTGTTGTCTCAGCGTGGGGGCCAACAAAGTCAGAGTGCATGTTTTTGTACACTGATCCCACTCTATAGGTTCCATTCTACCTTGCCCTGTCTCTCAGTGAATCTTCCAACTCTTTATTTACCTAGCAGAGTTATCTACTGAAGATTAACCAGGTCATCTAAAAAAAGATAACTGAAGGATCTCTGACAACTCATTTAGATGATGTATTTCTTTTTTCTTCCTTTTTAAATTTTTTTTAAATTTGACAGAGGATGAGAGAGAAGAGAGACAGTGAGAAAGCAACCCCCATAAGGGATGGTCACACTGCAATTCCTTCTCTTCTTAAATCTCCTTTTCTGGTTTTGGGCACATACACACACCTGGTGTGTTCTTCAAGACACCAGGTTCAGACAAGCTGTGCAGCTGGCCATGTGCAATCCAGCCACCATTACCACACTACCTACTCTTCTTCTTTACTCCCATTCGCTATCACTGAAATAGAAATGCTGATTATTATCAAATGTTACAAAATGTTATACTTTAATACAGAATAAAATTGCATTCATACAGTAAACCATAAGTATGCAAGAGAGGACATGAGAACATGGTGCATACAGGTTTTCTGTTCGCTTACGTGAGCTCCTGGAGGGCTTGTTTTGACCTCTGCAGATCTGGCAAGTAGTGAGAAAGCAATCCTTCTGCCAGCTGCTCCACAGCTTTATCTTCTACAGTCAAGTCCTCTATTAACCCTTCATCTGGAGAAGTGTCACTTAAGCCTGTCCCCAAACAAAAAATAAAACTTAGGAAGTTTTTAAATTGGCGCAGTTACTAAAGAAGGTTGGGTGAGGGCAGGTAGGAAGGGAGGAGGCGGCCCACAGTGGGGATGACAACATATATCCACTCCCAAATACAGGTGTCCTTTTTTCTTTTTAAATTTTTATCTCTGAGAATTCTCTTTAAAAATTGGTTATAGGGACCAGCAACTAGCGTAATGACTATGTCGCTGGACTTCCATGTAGTCAAGCGCAGTTCGAGTCCAGGACTCGGTGGCTTAAAACTCACGCTGGGTGCGTGTGCATGTGTGCCCATGGTCCCCAGAAGAGAATGGAGGAGAAGGGACTGCGGCATGGCCATCTCCCCTGGGGGGTAATTTCTCGCTTTCTGTCTCTCTGTCTCTCTCTGTCTGTCTGGCGAGCACACATGCCCTATAGCAAAACCTCTTTCAAAAAAAAAAGGGGGGGGGGTTATAAGGGACCAGCAGTTGGCGTAATGGTTATAAAAATTACATAAATAATTCTTTTTTTAAAAAAAAAGTGAAGAATTTCTGCCCTCTTCAGATTCTGCACTTTAGGGGCCAACATTCGGCCTGTGCATGCATGACCAAGATCCCAAGAGGAGAATGGAGGAGAAGGGATTGTGGTATGGCTACTCCCTAGGGAGTGATTTCTCACTTTTTCTCAGTGCCCCTCTCTCTCTCTCTCTCTCTCTCTCTCTCTAACGCACATGCTCTAGGGCAAAAAAATCTTTTTTTTTTTTTTAAGGTTTTTACCATAGGGGGTGTGCACTTGCCAGATAGAAAGAAACAGAGACATAGTGAGAGGGAAGGTGAGAAATCACCCCTCAGAGTGATGGCCACTTCAGCATCCCTTCTGCTCTATTCTTCTCTCAGGATTTTGGGCACAAACACATATGCACCAGAGTGAAATTCAAACCACAGGGTCTGGGACTCAAACCACACTCAGTCATGCAGGAGTCCAGTACTTTAATCAGCAAGTCACCTGCTGGCTACCCTTGCAAAACATTTTTTAGAGAGAGAGATTTTTGCCACGGGGCACTTGCACTTGCCAGAGAGAAAGAAAGTGAGAAATCAACCCCAAGGGGGGATGGCCATGCATAAATCCCTCCTCCTCCATACTCCTCTCAGGATTTGGGGCACACACGCATACAAGCATGGTGTGAGTTTTAAGCCACTGGGCTCAGGACTCAAACCACGGTCAACTACATGAGAGTCCAGTGATATAACTATTATACCATCTGCTGGTTCCTGCAAAACATCTTAAAAAGAAAGAAGATTCCTCACTTTAATTTACCATAAGAAATTGTGTATAATAATTGTCTTCTGTGTAAATCTCAACCTGATGCCAGGAACAATGCCTCATCCATATCCTCTAATAACAGAGTAAGCACAGTACCAGGCATCCAAAAATGTCTAAGACATACTCATAATCACTCTTCCCACCAAGAACAGTACAAAAGAATTTCTAAGTAGGACTCAATCAATGCTTTATAAAATTTTAGAATCCGTGGTGTAGAATGAGGGGGGGGGAAGTGAAATGGTCCTTACTAAAATTGTACTCTTAAAAGCATTTTATGACATAAAACTCAGAAACAGTCTTGTAATAATCAGTGACATCAGCTTAGATCACAATATAGAATACATTTATCACAACACATTGCTTATAGCATTTTTCTAGGTAGTTTCTATCACAGATTTAAATTTTGGCAAGATTAAGGAAAACAACATGTTGTCATATTCAAAATAAGCTTCCAGAAAATCAAAATAAAATCGTATGATTTTTATTTTAACCCCAAGAAACAAATTTATGAGTTCTCAAATTTGCTAGGCAACATTCAAATAGGCAAGAGCAAACTAGAAACTGAAGCACTCAGGAATAAAATTAAAATATAATGGAAGCAGATAGCTTAGCAGTTATACGGCTGGCTATAGTTCAAATCCCAGTCCCGGTGGCTTGAAACTCAGGTGCACTGCTCAGGGATACTGTGCTCCCAGTGTGTCATCAGATGGCAAATGAATAAACCAGAGCTGACTATTAAAGCCATTGCTTAAGTCTTGATTACAGTAAAAGTGCAAACAGCAACTTTGAGTAAACACAGAAAACATAAGTACTACAGATAAACAGTTAAGAACACCCAGATGAGAACATTTCAACTTTAAGGAAAAATTTTAATATTTCACTTTCCTTTCAATTATGAATAAATTGTAACTCACAAGCCTCCCTCCCCTTCCACAATCTTCTGGTTAATTATTGGAGGAGTCTCAGTTACTCATGTTTTTATATATGTTTAGTTACTAGGTTCTAGGTACTTTCCTGTGTGAAATTAAAGAAGAAAGGGTCCTTAACTCTAACTGTACAAGAAACATTGCTGCATTGTCTATACATTATACTAGGACTCAAAGTTACATCAATAAATAAGGCAAGTCCCCTTCCCTGGAAGGGCATAATACGGGGGAAATCACAGAAGAGAAGTTGCTATTAGAGAAACAGAAACTATTACAGGAATTCAGGGGAGAGAAAGATCATTTCATCCAGGAAATCAGGGAACTATTCATAAAGGAAGTGTGAGAGTTTGCGCTGAAGCTTGAGGAATGGAGAGTGTCTTTATTTCCTTTTGTAAATGTTACTTATTGAACAAACTTAAAACACTCCTTCTCATCTCCTAACTTTAGAGGAAATCACTCTGTGGTTCTGACATAGCTTTCCAAAGTGTCTTTGCATACCTATACATACATTCCTTTTTTATTTATTTATTTTAGTTTGCTAGGTAGGACACATGACTCGCAAGAGAGAAAAGAAAAGTGAGACATCGCCAACCTCTGTGGGGGAAGGGGATGGCCATAACGCAATCACCTCTCCTCCATCCTCCTCTTGGGATTTTGGGCTGCTCATACAAGCGCCTAGCGTTTTTCTCAAGCCACAGGATCTGGGACTCAAACTGCAGTTGACCTTGTGGGAGCCAGCCATTTTAATCACCATGCCACTGGTGGCCCCATATATATGCTTTTTATCATAAATGAATTATTGCTCATACTGTTTTATAACTTTTCTCTTAAATATACCTCTTAGATATGATTCCATATCAATATATATAGATTTAGCACATTATTTTTTTGGAAAGGTTTTTGCCATTGGGCACATGCACTCGCCAGAAAGAGAGAGAGAGAGAGAGAAAGACAGAAAGCGAGAAATCATCGCCCAGGGGGATGGCCACACTGCAATCCCTTCTCCTCTATTCTCCTCTCGGGATCTTGGGCATGCACACACACATGCCCGGCGTGAGTTTAAGCCACCGGGTCCGGGAGGCGAACCGCGGTCAACCATGTGGGAGCCCAGCGACATAGCCATTACGCCAACTGCTGGTCCCAATTTTAGCACATTATTTTTTTGAGAAGTTTTTCCACTATAGAGCACATGCTCTCACCAGAACAACAGAGAGATAGAAAGTGAAAAATCACCACCCCCGGGGGGGATGGCCACACTGCAATCCCTTCTCCTCCATTCTCCTCTCAGGATCTTGGGCATGCATGCACCCGCGTCCAGCATGAGTTAAAGCCACCAGGTCGGGGCTCAAACTGCTATAGACTACATGGGAGTCCAACGATATAGCCATTACGCCAACTGCTGGTCCCCAGCACATTATTTTTTATACAACAGATTCTATCAGTTTGTTTAACCAGTTCCCTATGAATGAGTTTAGATTTTCACTTTTTGCTATTTAAAACAATACTGCAATGAGCTTCCTAGCTAATGTCTGTATATTTGTGACACAATTTCCATAAAATAAATTATTAAATTATTAGACATAGACTGTTGGATCAACAGTTTCTGCATTTTTTTTTTAAACACACAATGCAAAACTGCTCTAACAGATGGTACCATTTTACACTCCCACCAATAATCTATGAGGACTATTTCCAAATGGGTAAGAATTCTATGACGAAGGTAGAAGGAATGCAGTGTGGGTAAAGGAGGCAGTATGAGGAAAGGTGGCAACAGAGGATTGTTCTGGAAAGAGGCACTTTTTCTGCATATGTGCGACATACGCAGCCCAGCAATAATGAACTGTGTAAGACCATGTGGTCAGCCTATGAGAGCTCTTGAGTGCCAAGTTAATGGGCTTGGGCCTTTGTTTAGCAAGTAGTGATGGGCCATTTAAGGTTACTAAGCACAGGTAGGACATGCTAGAGTCTTATCTTGAGACAGTGAGTGATATTCCAGCAGTGGGACAGACAGGTCAGGAGTAGTAAGAGACTGGAGACAAACCAGCATTACAACTGTTTGAAGGGTGACACTACAAAGAGGAGATGGAAGCTGTACAACAGAATCTCCTAGATGAAAAAGAGAAGGCAAAGAGGAGCGTCAAGAGCAACTTCAAGGTTTCAAATGAGAGTACTCGACACTATTAAATGGGTCGAATTCTCCTTTTATGTACGTGCTATATGTGAGATTAGTACAAAACAACCATACCAAGGTACCAACAAGCAGAGGAGCAGGCAAGAGTTAGGAGAGGGGCTCAGACTGTAAATATATACATACAGGAAAGTCACATTTATAGCTGTGACTTACAAAGGTGGGAAAAGGAGATCACCAAGGAAAAGCATGATCAGGAAAGTGCTGAGAACACTATTTAGGAGTAACCTTTGTATTACTGGAACAGGGTAGCAAAGAAAAGACAGATCCAAAGCCCTGCAGTCTTTCTCATCTAAGGTTCCTCACCTGAACCACATGTGAAAATGCTTTGAGTGACTATTTTTCTCAATTCCCCCAAGGATAGTACATAAATAGCACCATGCATAGCAAGTTAATTCATTCCACTCAATGGATTTCTTAGGGCACTAGGGTTTAAATCTCACCAAGGACTTGGAACTTCAAGCCTGCTAGAAGAATAGGAAAGTAATGTCACCAAAGATTTTGTGAGTTGAGTGGTCAATAATATTGCCATTGAGGAAGAACATTTAAACTGTAAGATATTTTTAAATTTATTTTTAAAATAATTATTTGATTTTATTATCATTATTTTTTCATTTGCTACAGGGCACGTTCACTCCCTAGAGACAGAGAGTAAGCAAGCTACCAGGTCCAGATTCGAACTACAGTCAGTCATGTGGGAGTCCAGCGGCCCAAACCACCATGCCACCTGCCAGCCCCAAGATATTTTTAAATTTCACTAGGCTCCAAAGGAATGTGGTCATGAGACTTGAGTTATGCTTGCTCTAAACCCACTGGCTTCTTTAAACAATAGAGGGGAGCTCCCCAGCAGCTAAGTGACCAGATCTAAGCTATAAATAAACCAATATACATGATCAAGACATCACAAGAAAATACCGGTCAGGAAATGTCAACTCTGAAGAAATCTTTAGCTAATGAAAGGTGCATGTTGAAAATACCAGCCAATGAAAACTCTTGTAAATCAACTTTGCGACCCTCACCTCCTCATTCCTTTTCTCTTGCCTCCCTTTCCCATCAAAGCTGTGCCAGACCCTCCATTCCTGGGAATACTGCCTATAGTCTTACGGATTCCCGGGAAGCTGTTCTCAAGTCTGTGTTTGAATAAAAAATTTATTGCTTGTTTGACAAGTTTGGGTCGGACCCTTTTCGTTTCAGGTTGACACCACCACGTCTCTCAATTACAAACCGGTCATCTTTCCGACAAAACATCCCCATCACTACCACATGACAATAGCCAAGGGTTGCCGGAGTCCAACACCAATTCACAATGACTCCCCCATCAACCGCCTTCCCAACCCGCCCACTCCGTTAAGGCTAAGGACCCTCAGGGTTCCCCGCAGCTGCGCGGAGCCGCTTACTCCCTCGCGGAGGGTCTGCAGTCGCACGGCCACGGCCCCGACCCCGGCCCCGGCCCCGGCCCCCCGCCCTGGGCCGTCCGTCCCTCCCGACAGCACGTACTCGGCGTTGGCTCCCCGGCCTCCCGGCCGGGCGGGGGAAAAAGCAGGACCCCGTCAGGAGACGGCGGCCCTGGGACACTCATGTCCCTCCTGCTGGGACAGGGAAGAGGCAAGCTCAAGGACCTCCAAATGCGTGAGGAAAGCACCCAACGTCTCCGGCGCCCAGCCGGACCGAAGCGGCAGTCGCACCCGGAAGTGACGAAAGCGGAAAAGGGTGGGCTCGGGCGGTGCGGGGGTCTCGCGCTGACGTCTCACGGGCGGGGGAGTCAGCAAGGCTGGCAACCCGACTCTGTCACTCGGTTGTAGGTGACCGGTTTGGACTGCTCCGGTGGGTCGCGAAGGCGGGGGAGCGTTGTCTTTGTTGGACGCAGGCAAGCTGTCAGGCTCTGTTCACCGAGGTTTGGGGGCAATGGGACTGCAGCCCCAGCACGCCACAGCTTTTCCATGTTGTGTGCACGTAAAGGAAAAATCCTATGGATAGGAGGACTGCGGGCTTTCCCTGCGATTTGCACAATTAAAAAAAAAAAAAAAAAAAAGAGGGTCAAGCTCTCTGTGAGCTTCAGTCTTGTTGTTTCAGGGTTTGCCACGATTCCAGTCTCCCCTTGTTAATTGTAGATGAATGACTGAAGGCCATGTTGCACCATCTCCTAAACAGAGTCTTACTGGAAACTGCACTTGCTGGGATCTTATGAAGTGATGTCATCAATTTTGATGGAAAACACTTAGAAATAAGCAGCCTCAGACCAAATAAAACGATTCTCTGTCTTAGACCGAGGGATCTTGCCTATAGTGGTGGCCTCCCCAAGTTTTTTTGTTTTGTTTTGTTTTTTTCTGTGCTGCAGCCAAAGCTGTCTTTAAAAAAAAAAAAAATGAGAATTTATGTCAAGCCTCAGAAATCTGCACCAGCCACCCATTGCCCTTACCAATGTATTCATACCTCTTCCTCCTCTTCCAGCCGCTTCTTTTCCTCTCAAGATTAGCCCTTATTATCTGTGATAGGCAGGATAAGGGTTCCTTAAAGATACTAGAGCCTAAATAGCTGTAACTTACAAACATATTAGGTTGCAGAAGGAATTAAAGTTGCTAGTTACCTTACTTTAAAGCAGATTATCCCAGATTATTGAAGAGAGCCCAATATAATCAAAAGGGTCTTTAAAACTGGAAGAGGGAGGTAAAGAGGGATATCTGACTACAAAGAATGATTAGAGAGCAGTATTATTGCTGGCTTTGAAGATAAGAAAAAAAGAGAACCTGCAGCCTGGATTGTGGTGACCTCCAGAAGCTGGAAAAGGTAAGGAAACCGATTCCTCCCTGCAGTCTCTCTAATGGAATTCAGCCCTGCTGACACCTTGATTTCATCCGAGAACTGTGTTGTACTTCTAACCTAGGGAACTGTAAGATAATGAATTTGTGTTCTCAGTTTGTGCAGTTGGTTACCACAGCAGTAGGGAAGTAATACACTACCTTTGAAACTTCTTTTATTCCATCCTAAAACTATGCCCTTTCATTGTCTGCAGAGCTCTTGCTCATGCTTCTGCCTGGAACGTTCTATTATTTTCAAAGTAGTATTCATCTTTCAAGGCTTGGCCTAAATAATACTTTGACTTTAAAATCTTTTACAATCTCTTCTTTCGTTTAGAAGTTACATAATAACCTTTTCTCAATTACAAAGCATCCTCCTATTTATTTAGTACTTAATCCATTCTTGTGTTATTTACCTTGTCTTCCTCTATTATATTGCAAACTTCACACAGAAACTACCATTCACAGAGAACTGTAATAGATTTTCTTCTTTCTTTTTTTTAACTAGGCAAAGAACTTTATTAACCTTTGTTTCAGACTTTATTCCCAGGCTCTTCAGCTTAATTAGGTGCAAAGAATGAACTGCGTATAAGCAAAAAAAAAAAACGGAAAAGAGTTGCAATGCCCAAGGGGCTTGGACTTAAATTAAATCTTAAGAGATCTAGATTTTATCATATCCATAGATGAAACAATTTTAAGATGCAGTTATAATATAAAATAGCACCTCCCAGTAACTTCATCAAGTTTTATCCCTTTCAGGAATTGACTCAATTGGGCCAGCAAATGGTGTGGTGGTTGAGGTGCTGGACTCCCATATGGCCAACCACGGTTCAAGTTCCAGACCTGGTGCTTGCTTTCTTACTTGCCCTCTGGGTCTGTGTGTGTGAGCACATGTCCCTATAGCACATTAAATAATAATAATAATAAATAAAGTTAAACAAATGATTCTTTAAAAATAAAAATGATTCACTATAAAAAAGAAGTTGACTCAATTCAGTTTGCCTCTTTCTTAGAAGCCTCATCAAAATTCTTCACAAAATCTGGAACTTCGTCATCATCATCCTCTCCAGTAGCAAGTGGTGCTTTTCCATCCACAGATTGTTTGGGCAGAGCTTCAGCCAGTCTTCTTAAACTAGTCATACTATCTGCACCAAGCTGGTTTAAGATGCTGGGTAGCATATATGTCAGCTGCTTTGTCTCATCATAGCCTGTAATGGTGAAAGTATTGACTGCCAGAGACCCCTGATATTTAGGGTTGTTAAAGTGGATCATTTGTTCCCTGGTTTGTAAATATATTCACCTCTTCAGTACCACCTCTTCTTTAAGGAGAACTGAAGTTTTTTACCATCTACTGTAGCCATTCTATGAACCACCTTATTTCTGTGAGCAGTTCCTTTCCCACTAATGTGCACTTGTGCCTGCAATTTGGCAAGTTCTTCGTGATTCATGATAGTGTCATCTTGTCAGAGCAGAAAAGGGCCCATGCAGGAGGCTACGGTTGGTGCTCAGGAGGTCTCAGACAGACCAGCTCAAAAACTGTAATAGATTTTCAATAAAGGTTTAGCAAATTTGGCAAATGAATGAAGTATCAATTCTCTAGTCCCCCAATTCCAAATATTAACATCTATAATCCCCAAAATTGGAATCACAAAATATAGCACTTGATTACTGCCTAGTAACGTTAGCTAATTGTTAGTATTATCTCCCAGCTAGATAGTAAGGTCCTTTAGAATAGACCCATGTCCTATGGGTCATCTGTAACTTCTCTCTTTTAGCATGGTATTAAGCATATTTCATTAATTTGAAAATACCAATATTTAAATTTTTTTTGAGAGATTTTTGTTATAGGGCACATGTGCTCGCTGGAGAGACAGCAAGAAATCACCCCCACCCCCACCCCCGGAGGATGGCCAACCACAATCCCTTCTCCCCCATTCTCCTCTCTGGATTTTTGGGCACACACACATGCACACCTGGCATAGTTTCAAGCTGTCAAGTATAGGACTAGAACCACAGTCGACCACAGAGGAGTTCAGTGCCTTAACCACTATGCCACCTGCTGTCCCTACCAGTATTTGAATTTAATGGAGAAATGAAACTGTTGCATCCTATTTTTATCATCTTCTATTTTATTTTAATGAAAATATGTTAGAAATTTGATGAATATTCTTTTTCAGCATTTAGATTTTACTTAATGTGACAAAAACTAATCAGCTAAATAGACAAGGGAGACTTCCTACCAGAGTCATCTTGTTCTTCTTTCTTCTTTTTCTTTTTTACCACCCTCCCACCCGTCCCAGATTTTAGCTCACGATTCAAGTGCTTGTTGAGTACCATTTCTGTTCCACTAAATAGCTATGCACCTAACATAACACAGCATGTAATACAGTTTTTTTAAAAAAGTTTTAAAATTTGATTGCAAGGAAGTAAACATCATTTGTTGAATACTATGTCTTTTAAAAGTCCCTTCATTTTCCCGTTCCCTTTTAGGTGTCAAAGTTATAATCCACCCCAAACATCTGAACACCTAAGACCAAACTAGGCACTCCAGGGGGTTAAAAAAAAAAAAGTAAAAATCCTGATTTTTACCCACCACAATTTATATTTATGCAGTGGAGAATTAGAGAGCATGACAGTGTTAGTGAGCATAAGGTATTAAAGTATGTGGAACAAACACAGAGAAATTGAAAAGACATACTGATGTGTTAATTACCACTAACTTGGTAGATTAGAACAACAAAAATTTACTACCTTATGGTTCTGAAGGTCAGAAGTCTGAAATCAGTTCTTGGTGCACTAAAATCGAGGTGTCAGGGCTGTGACTTCTGGAGGCTCCAGAGAGGAATCTGCTCCCCTAGGTTTGCCTTTTCCAATTTCTAGTGGCCATGGCTCCACACCACTCAGCCTTTTCTCCCCCACTTCCATCATCCTGTCTCCTCCTCTGCTACCCTATCCTCCTGGCTTTACCACACACAGGCCTTTGTGATTACATTTAGCCCACCTACATGATCCAGGAGACCCTTACCATCTCAAAGTCCTTTCATCACATTTGCAATGTCCCTTTTGTCATATGAGGTACCATTCAAGATTCCCTGGAACTGAATGTGGACGTTTTGGGGGGACTATTACTCAGCCTGACACATGTGCAGTTATGCAATGCACAATTGGGAAGTAACTACAGAAAAAAATTTAAATGACAGAGGCAATGGGATTGATCCCATATCTTGAAGGACATGTAAAGTGTAACCTGCTGGGAACCAGCAGTTAGCGTAATGGCTATGTCGCTGGACTCCCACGTAGTCGACCGCGGTTCGTGTCCTGGACCCGGTGGCTTAAAACTCAAGCCGGGCGCGTGTGCGTACGTGCCCAAGATCCCGAGAGGAGAATGGAGGAGAAGGGATTGCGGCGTGACCATCCCCCCTGGGGGGTGATTTCTCGCTTTCTGTCTCTATGTCTCTCTCTGTCTGTCTGGCGAGCGCACGCGCCCTACAGTGAAAATCTCTCCCCCCCCCCCAAAAAAAGTGTAACCTGCTGAGGAAAACATAAAATCTTCCAGGCAGGACATGGCACCATGTGTTGCAAACGTATACTTTAGACACAAGGCCTCAAGGTGCTGTCTTTTTGAGAAGACTACAGTAACAGATTAGATGGGTAATAGTCTGTTATACTAGAATAATTTAAGAAGTCAAAAGATATGACAAAATGTACGCATTTAGCTCTGAATCATTCTTGGATTGTCGGAAAAATCATGACACATTTTGGCACAGAAAAATATGTCATGACCTTTCTGACAACCCAAAAGTTCAAAGAAACAATATCCAGAAAGAGTTAACCACTGTATAATATTCACAGCAAAAAATAAGGTCACTGAATTTCAAGGACTTCCAAAAGAGGAAGAGCAGGTATAATGCAATAAGTACATCAGAACTTTGACCCACCTTTCAGTTCTGCTGAAGGGTCTTTAAATTTTCCTGTGCCCTTTAGTTTTCTAACTTGAAGAGAGAAGGTAGGTAGCAAAAAGAAAAAGGAAAGAAACATTAATCCATGAATATTTTCTATGCCTTTTATGGATCAGATGTCCTATACTTAGAATGAGCTAAGATTTGAAAACATTCTACTTTCGGTTTGACCTACTTCTCTCAAAGACATTCATTTCCACCCTCCTCTTTATCTTTCTCTTCACCCTTTTCCAAAAACAGAAGAAAGAATGTTGGTGAC